CGTGTGAAATCTGTCTTTCACGGGCAGCCCACTGTCAAAGACGCCATACTTGGCACTGCTCACGCCCATGCAACCACGCTTCGCCAGGTCAAGAACAAGGACGACCTTGCCGAGACCAGGACCTGCATGGATCGCACACCCATGGATGAGGATTCCTTGTGCAAGGTCGCTCGCCAGGCATGCGCCTCCGCCGTGCAATTCTTCAGCTGCATCACCTCCCTGTCTGCGGACGAGGTGGTCTACGATCTTCGGAAGTGGTGGGACACTGAGGGTCCGAGGTACTTTCAAGCCTGCGGAAGGCAATCAGCTGCATCCGAGGAGGACGACGAGGACTTGACCCCGGACTGTCAGGAGGTGACGGATCTGCAGCCCTCTGCGGAGCCCTCTTCCATGGTCAAGCTGGTTGCTGTGCAAGATCGTGCACTCGCTACCGAGGAGCTGAAGATTGCAATGCAGGAGCTCCAGACTGAAGCAGACGGGGCATGCACAGTGCCGGCGGAGGACATGCGGGATGTCGTAGATGTCGCCACGACCTGGGCACCCGATGCAGATGAACCCGGTACGGCTCCCAAAACCTTGCTGGAGGTGCTCAAGCGAGCAATCAGGAAAGGAGGAGCACACTTCAACATGGGAGAGGCGCCCTCCGTCGGCACACGAAGCATGTTCCTCCGACTTCACGATCTCGTCGGACCCATGCGAGCCTTCACTCGCCAGGCCCGGTGCGAAGAAGGAATCATCACGCCGGCTCAACTGGAACGTGGACAAGTTGAGCTGAATGACTTTAATTATCGCGAGCACCTGCTGGCGGTCGCCCGGCGATCCTCGAACATCTCGCACCACCGGCTTGCAAGATCGACAGCGTGGGCAGAGGCACAGACGCACATGATTGCAGAGCTCCGGGCAAAGATCACTCCTGCCAAGGGCCACGGCGTGATGCAGCCGGAAAGTTATCGGCCCAACAAGGACGGCAAAAACCTGCAGGTCCTAGTCTGCAAGTTGGACGGTGCGGTTCAAGCGGTGGCGGTCTTGACTGTTTTCCGCGGTTCGGTTGTCCGCAAGCCGGAGAGTCGGCACTCTGGCACGGTGCGGGTGGGCAAGCCTATGCCCTGCGAAGTGCCTGCTGCCAGTGCGAAGGTCCTGCGAGGAACACTGCTGCAGCAAGAAGGCCAGGACCAGCACCACTGGGTGACAAGCTGCACGGCGACACCGTTGCTGTTTGATCCAAGCGGCTGTGTGATTGGCGAGCTCGAGACTGCAGAGATGCGAGAGAGTGCCACAAGACTCCACGTGCAGCTCTCGCACAGTGCTGTTCAAGCAGTGCGCCTGCTGATGGCAGGAAAGATTGCTGTTCCGGAGCTGCCTCCCGGAAATCCGGAGCAGGACGAGGGTGCTCCTGCAGAGACGTCCGATGCAGCTGCCCAGCCAGCGGCCCAGGACCAAACCTTCACTGACCGCAGCTTCGTGCGGAAAAGTTTGGACAAGACTGTCGACCTCTTCATCCGCGGTCTTATCCAGGAATATCGCAAAAGCCGCGTGCAGATTGTCAGCGATGATGGCAAGATCAAGACAAAAACCAGCCAGCTCTCCTACGACGAGGTCTGCAAGATGATTCCTGGCTTCTTCCTCTCCAGTGGTTCCAGCCTGCAGGGGCACCGGTTCAGCCAGTACGTGCATCGGGAGCTGACAGGCTTGCTCCCCAAAGCAGGAAATCTGAGCAACGGTGTGAAAGAAGTGCACCGTTTTTTCTCCCAGGTGGCCAAATACACACCTGGGCAGGTCAAACTGACCGTAGGCTAGGTTAGGGTAGGTTAGGGTAGCTTGAAGAACAAGCTCACACCAGCTCTGCTGCCAGGATTTGCAGGTAACACTCAAGATCATCCTCGGGCCTCCAGGGCTAGAGCAATAGACTGCACTAGACTGCAAAATCACAAATCCCGGCCGAGCTGCTGCACTCAGCAAGCCTGAGTGAGAAAAGACTCCGCACATAGTGCGAATGAGGGGAAAAAGAGAAGGTGTCGTGACTGTGCGCAAGTGACTGTGTGCATCTGTGTGTGTGTGTGTCTATGCGGTAATGATACTGACCTGAAGCGAATCATGGCTCTCACAATCCTACTATTACTACCATTCTGACGATAATGCACACTTCCCCGGAATGCCACTGTGATAGTGGACGGAATGCCACTGTGAGAGTGGTTCAACCCCCGCCCCCCCCCAGTCATCCTGGGAAATGAGCCCGGGCGCATTTCCAGGGGACCCCCCACTACCCCACCCCCCTTAAGGGGGGGGTATGTATATACCGAAGGGTCTGCTTCAGTGTTTGAGTCTTGTGCCATGCCCTTCGAAGTAAATCGATGCAGGCACTGCGGCCCAAAACCCTGCAATATAGAGAGGGCTTAGTAATTACCTATAATATTCTGGGGCTCCCTTATTATAACTATACGGTCATATACCCCAAAGCCGTATTCGACTGATTCAGGCCTCGACAGCAATCTCTTGAAGCCCCTGAACCCTAAACCCTATACCCTAAACCCTAAACCCTATACCCTAAACCCTAAACCCTAAACCCTAAACCCTAAGCCCCTGAAGTCCTTTGGGAGTCTGGGGGTTGATGCTGTTCTGGTCTAGGCCTCTGACCGTTCTCCCTGGAGACTCTGCCCTAACCCCAGATAACCTGCCTTCTTTGGGTTCCTTATTCTGAGTCTCGTATATATATATATATATACACATACATTTATACATATCCATACATATATATATATATACATACATATATATATATATATACATGTATAAGTCCATGATAAGGTAGAACCTGAACCTCTGAGGAGGTCTCGCTTTCCCAAGCGGCGAGCCGGCGAATGCCTATCCAAAGATCTCAATGCTGATAGTACCCTCAACAAACCCCAAACCCTGAATCTTCAACCCAAAGCCCTAAACCCTAAAACCCCAAACCGTGAACCACCATGGACGGAAGCTCGAAAGTTATGCTTCACGCATACTTTGGATACTGGAAGCTTCGAGTTTAGGAAGGGAGCGTCTGTGTCTGGCCGGGTGGTTTAGGGTTTTGGGTTGAGGGGTTTAGGGGCCTAGAGTTTATAAGGTTTAGGGTTTAGGGGTTTAGGTTGTATCCTAAGCCGCTCCAAGCCTTCGCTCACGAGTTAACAAACCCTGGGCGTTTGAGGTACAGAGGGCGAGATCATTTGTGCAGACGGCGAGGTCCTGTGGGGTTGAGAGCATCATGTTTGTTCGGCACTTACCTGGACCCCAAAAGCATGTAGAATAATAGCCTTGTTATGGGTCTTGGGCCATTATTTTGCGTGGATTTTTTTTTGGGGGGGGTTCAGTAGGGCTTAAGCTTGGCGCTAGCAGCCGGCTTCATTTTGCGTTGCGTGAGTAGTTATCACGCTGCACCCTAAACCCTAAACCCCGAACCCTAAAACCGATACCCTGCATCCTTGTTAGAAGATGAGTATCTTACCCCCGAGCCCTGTTCTGACTACGGCACCCATCTTCCAGGAGCTGGACTTAAAGGTTATGTCGACTCGAGTCCCTAGACGCTGAATAAGTAGAAGGGAATTCGGGCTAGGGCTGAGGGTTGCTACCTGGTTTCGGGTTTAGGGTTTAGGGTTTAGGTTTCAAGTGTGATTGGATATTCATATGGCTTGTGCTCAGGTACGAACCGCTGACTGCTTCAAGGATCTAGAAGTTCACTCCGGAAGTCAAGCTGACTGTTGATCTACAGCACAATGCTTGCGTAACAACAGTTCCGTTGCTGATGTTAGTTCTAAACATGATCAGGGACTATCATGAGAAGCACATCCGTCTACAAGCAAATGTAGTACCAGGAGGATCGGGACGGCAGGAAGGCCGAGACCAAACAACAACGGCGATAATCGGAAATCTGTTGTGGAAGACAATATGTGGGCAAGTTGGCAAAGACATGGTCACGAGGCACCTGAATCCTCTCTAGATGTTCCAAAGTCGTGTCAATCGAGGTATCAGAAAGCTGTCTCCGAAACCCTATAAGCCTTAAGCCGCTGGCAGGAGGAAGGAGAAACCGACTGGCACCAGCGACAGGCCTGTTGTTGGGATAGGGCTTAGGATCTACGCTCTAGGGGGCCAGGTTTCAGGGTCTGGGTTTTAGGGTTTAGGGTTTAGGGTTCGGTTTCGGCAACTGTGTAGTCTAGGCTGCAGGGAGAAGACCTGAAGTTTGGAGGATTGGGGTTTAGGGTTTAGGGTTTAGGGTTTAGGGTTTAGGGTTTAGGGTTTAGGGTTTAGGGTTTAGGGTTTAGGGCTTGAGGTTCAGGTTGTCTGCAGCTTTCGAGAACTCCCAGAGTATTTAGAGACTCGGAAGCCAGCCCGGAGGAGCCCGAAGGCCTACCTCCGGGAGCTTGGATGGGGGTTTCCGAAAATAGTGGACCCGAATAAAGTACCCTAAATAGTAGGATCCTTATTATAAGGACCCCAAAATGAGGCACCTTAATTTCCGGAAACTCCCGGATAGCTCCAAACCTGAAAACCCAGTCACGCCAAACCGATTCTTGTTAGTTGAACTTCTCTTGTTTCTGGCGAGGGTCCATGGAACCCCTCATGGCCTAAGTATGTGCTATGTACATGGACCCAAATTGAAGCGAGGGTTTCAGAGACGACTAAAGGAGGGACCCTTAAAGGGAATCTTGGGTTTGTATAGGGGCTTTATGAGACTATATAAGGGGTATTATAAGGGTTATATAGGGTATTTGGATTAGGGGTCCCTTCTGGTCCCTTCTAGGGGTCCCTCCTACTGTCCCTTAAGAGTCTCTGGCAACAGCTGTTGGGAGGCCGTTCTTCGCACGGTTCGGGGTACCGTGGTGTCCGAGCCTTGGGAGCGGTGGGAGGAGGGGGGGGGGGGTTGTTAAAACCGCAGTTAACGCGCATCGAGCTGTAGGTATTATAGGGTTTGGGGTTTAGGGCGGTGCCACGCGCTACATACCTCGGCATCCCAAAAAAGTTCGAAGCTATTCCCAGGGCAGAATACCCTACCAAAGAGGGTTTAGTCCCAGGGTTTACTGCTTGGGGAAAAGATTTCTGATGACAGCTTGCGGGTCATGGTTCTGACTGTAAAGTTCTGTTGATCGGTTCAGAAATTGACTCGCGAAGTGATCTCACATAGCGCTTCGTGATTGGAACAGGGTTTTTTTGGGGCATAGGTTGTAATATATAAGAAAGCCTAAGGAATGGTACTAAAGGTTTTGGGCTCCTTTATACTATAGTCATAATAAGGAACATAGGTAACTATTGACGTTGAGGCCCCTTATATTACTCACTACTGAGGCTTTAGACTGCAGGAACGCTAGTGGACATTCTGGCAGCCTCTCGCAGCATCCGCCTCCCTTTCTGCCCTCTCCTCTCCCCCGAAATGCTAATCATGCAGATAGAGGGGCCTTCATAATTAGAAGAGGGCTTTGGGGCCCACTATACTATAATTATGATAAGGAACCCCCAAAATAGTTTTGGTAATTATTTAGGCCCCTAGATTACATCCCAAGCCCTGGCACCCTCAACTCTAAACCCGAAGCCCTGCGACCCTCTTTGGATCCCGAAACTTGCGAGATTGCCATCCTGAAAGTTTCACAAGAGTTGGAGGTTTCCGAAAATAAGTGGTACCCTATTTTGGGGGTCCTTAGAATAAGGATCCTACTATTTAGAGTACTATACTAGGGTCCCCCATCTTCGGAGACCCCCAGTTCCAGCCGAAAGAGCAGCCAGTAAAGCGAAGAAGCCTCAACGGAGGTCGGAATACCCTTGATACTCTCCATGTATCTATACTACACAGACTTGTTAGAATGATTAAGGCCCCTATATCCCAGCCCAGCCCTTAACCCTAGACCCAAAATTCCAAGACCTACATTCCAAACCCTAAATACCAAACTCCTAAACCCTCAAACCCCTAAACCCCCAAACCCCTAAACCCTAAACCCCTAACACCCTAAGGCCCCTAAACCCCTAAACCCTAACACCCCTAAACCCCTAAACCCTAAACCCTCAAACCCCTAAAGCCCCTGTTTTCCGGCTGAAGGAACCCCCAAACCTTATAAACCTTAAAACCCTAAAGCCCCTGTTTTCCGGCTGAAGGTGCTTCAGGATCGAAAAGATTGGGCTCAAAGATGCCCAGGACCGGGTGCGAACTCTGGCTTGGGCCAGGATCAGGGTTCGCAGTTTTAGGGTTTTTTAGGGGGTGGGGAGTTGTGGGGGTTTACCATATTCAGAGGGTTTTGGGTTTTTGGGGTTTAGGGTTTTTAGGGGAGGGTTCTTAGGGTTTCTTGGGTTTTTTGGTTTGGTGTTTAGGGTGTTTGTTTTTTTTGGGTTTGGGGTTTTACGGTTTAGGGTTTTAGGGTTTGGGTTTTTTAG